ATCAGTATGTAGTGTCTCTACTTTAAAGAGTCCCTCTCCTGCTGATGTTCAGGTGTATATCAGTATGTAGTGTCTCTACTTTAAAGAGTCCTCTCCTGCTGATGTTCAGGTGTATATCAGTATGTAGTGTCTCTACTTTAAAGAGTCCTCTCCTGCTGATGTTCAGGTGTATATTTAAGCAATAGCTCACGACAGGCCGTGGTATATGTATTAAATGTTCTATAGATATAGCAATCACCTCTATATCTTGAACTCTTTAATCCATGGTAATCACGTCTTAAAAAAATCTGATATTGAGAAACCCCTTTTCTTACATCAGTATACTCTCCTCATCAAATCAAATCAAACTTTATTTGTATAGCCCAATATCACACAACACGTTAGTGGGCTTTTCAGATTAAAATCAACATTGTATATGATGGAGTGACAGCAAAATGAGAAGACAATATAGTATCATCTTTCTCATTCTCCGTCCTTTCCTTCCTCCCCATGTTCTGCTCATGTCTCTCCTCTGAGTTCCCCCCCCCCCTCTTTCCTCCCCTAGCATCGCCCTAAATCATGCATGTTGGAAGCATGTCGTGCTCATCCTTCAGCTTCATTAAACATACGAGGTCCTTCATTACTGGCGGGCTTATTAGCCTGAGGAAGTGCTGAGGAAGAGTCTTCTGAGGGAGGGCGTCCTCTCACTCATTCTTATGATCATCCATTCTGAGCCGAAGCCATCAATCCCGTCTGCAGCCTCCCTTTAAAACGCATATTTAACTCCGCGCTTATTGATTGTTTGAAATTGAATGCGTGTCAATTTGAGTGAGTGCTACAGTCATTTAAAAAGTGTTCAGTGTGCAAAACAGGCAGAGCATCGTTCACTGTGGCACAGCACAGAGAGAGACACCTGGAATATCCTCTCGCTGTGCCTGATTTAGGAGTTATATGTATTTTCTGGTGTGTCGGATTTTCCTCATTGATATATTACTGCTGCATTAGTCCTGAAGGCTCATTTGAGGATGTCTTTGCTCTGCAGAAATGTGATATTAAACGACAGAAACCACTGATATCCGAAAAGCTGGGTGTCTTTCGGTTGGAAACATCATTCTGCTCGCCTTTTAAGATAAGATATTTTATTAATCCCAATTTGGGAAAAACATGTTTTGTTGCAGCAGCATAAAACAAAACAAGGCATTGCACAACTTAAAAGATTATAAATAAACAATTCTAAAATAGAAACATCTCAAAATAGAAATAAACCAGCATTTGAGAGTGAGAGAAATATACAGATGATGACCGTGAAGATAACAAATCAATAAACTGTCTGACAAATAAAAACACACATTGAAATCTGATCTTCCACAGAGAAGTGTGATGTTTTAAAACAGGGCTTTGTGTTTGTCTTCAGACTGTGAAAACTGCAATGCTGTGTTATTGTTTCATTAACTTCCAATAAAAGAGATATAGAGGTATCTTGTCTCGGTATATAGATCCTTCCAACACCTGGCAGAACCGTACAATCACAGCCAAGAGATCAAATATATGTTTTATTTTTCCAATAAAAGCAATCTCGACTGAGTATTCAATTGCATGTTTTTTTTAATAAAGTATAGTGTGAGAGCAGACAATGTTAAAGATTGTTTTTATTCTGTTTTTAGTCCGTGGAAAAGGACATTTTCTTTTGTGGTGTTGCAAACAAAGTGTCCTCTATAGCTGTTTTACAGCCTCTTGCTGTGGTCCTGGATCATAAGTCCTGGATGGATATCCTCGTGGATTCATCTTCTTATTATAGACTCATGCATTTCCAAACATTCGGTCTACCTACGCTGTAAAATGTATTATCTCTTCGATTTACACACGGCATCTATTGCACGTCTGTCCGTCCTGGGAGAGGGATCCCTCCTCTGTTGCTCTCCCTGAGGTTTCTCCCATGTTCCTTTAAACTCTGGGGTTTCTCTGGAAGTGTTTCCTTGTACGATGTGAGGGTCTAAGGACAGAGGGTGTCGTATTGTCATACTGATATTCTGTACAAACTGTGAAGTCCTCTGAGACAAATGTAACATTTGTGATATTGAGCTATATAAATAAACATTGATTGATTGATTTTACATGGCTTTTGTTAAGGCATTACCTGGTTCAGTCCTTGTTTATTTAAGAATGAAACAGAGGTATGATATGCATTTGAAATAGGATATCTTTACCAGAGGAGATATTGTTCCCCAAGTACCGACTAGCTGGTGTGTCACAAAGGTTACATAATGATGTTTGAAGAAGGATGAACAAGTGTTCGCCAAACATCATCAAGTCTCTACTTCCTGTGAGCTTGCAGTAACTTGTAGTGTACAACAAATCAAATCAGTGTGAACATTAACGTCGAACAACTCTTTGTCTGATGTGGGAGTTTTCTAAGGCCCCGTCCACACGGAGATGAAACTGATTTTGAACCGAAGTCGATTTAAAAAAAGTCTTCCGTTCACACGAAACCGCTCGAGACGCTGTAGTACATATGCCGGGCCTGTAAGTGGCGCTGTACTTCCGCCACAAAATACACCAAAAGCAGCGAAGAAGACCCCCCGAACATTGCTGATGGTTGGGGGCGTGTGGTGCAGTGGGTTGTGCGTTGGTGTTCGGATCAGGGTCACAGGTTCAAACCACACTGCAGTCAGCATGTCGTTGTGTCCCTGCGACACTTCACCCCAAATTGCTCCTGTGGGGATTGGCCACAGTATTGAGTATGTTAGTCGCTTTGGATAAAAGCGTCTAACATGTAATGTAATGTTGTGGTAGAGGAGCTGTAGATTTTGCACTAAAATCTGTATCATGGTCAGTAGCATCTGGAGCACGAACGCAAACCTGTGATCCGCCATTGTTGTTGTGGTTGGCGAAACGCATCAGCAATGACGCAGGTGACGCAGGGGTGAGCAGGAGAGGCGGGGCTATGGCATCATCGATTCAGGAAAGGGTTGTATAGGGCGTACACACGGAGCCGCAAGCGTGTCGTCTCCAGACTTACCCACTTTGGGAACTGGTTTCAAAATGTATCGGTTTCGGGCTCCGAAGCCGCGGCTCCGTTTCGGCCTCGTGTAGAGAGAACTTTAGCGGATACAACTGAAATTGTCTCCGTGTGGACGGGGCCTAAATGTCTAAATAATCCAGAGTATTTCCAGTCATGTTGATTTAGTCCATGTAAATAAAGGTGTGAATTCCTGCTGTTTACATCTGAAAACATCAAACAAGTCATGTACATTTTCAGGGAAATGTGTTGATATAAAACCCAACACTTATTCTACTAAGTTGGGATAGTGTATATTGTGCATGAGCTTCTTTCCTTTGTTTCCTTAAGCCACATTTTAAACAGACATTTCGAATGCGTTATCTTTCAATGTATTAGTTTTACTCACAGTTGTGATTTGACTTGTTTGGTTTCTGAAGCTGCATTGATATTATGGGACTCGTGGTTAATAAAAAAAAAAATATTTTCACACACATTCAAATAAGGAAATAGGCCTTTGCAAGAGTCGAACGAAAGGCACAACTCAAATAAGTTGATAAACAAACAAATTTAGATGGTCTTTATTTTTATTATGTTGTGCATCATATCATTTAAAGGTAATAAACTGTGTCTTTGTGGTGTCTTCCACACATATCTGTGTCTCTTAAATGCTAGCACCATGGGATTTGTAGTCTTTTATATTCCCTTGACACTGCTCAAAACTAGGAGACAATATGTGTCACAAAAACCATCATTGACATTCATCTTGATAGTGACAGAACATTGTTAAAGCCAGTTTTTGGGGTCTTAGAAAGTATTAAAAGTTCATAAATCAATGTAGCGAAAATGAATGCTATTAAAAAGTATTAAAGGGCATTTTCCAAGGTATTACATGTTGTAGCTAGTTTCCAATAAGTATATAAATTGTCCAAAGATGTTGTATTCTACAGTGTGCCTGAATGTAATCATTGCGTAGGTGTGTAGTGTGATTCTGTGTAGTTTATTTATGGCATCCCGTTGGATTTGACGTCATCTGAACAGGACATCGCACGCTCACTGCTTGATAGCGCGCGAAGGTCCGTTTACGCCGGTTGTTAAGCAACATCGTTATGGGGAAATGCAAGTTTGCGTCCAAATGGTTGGAAGATAAGGAGGAAGGACAATCAATACTGAATATAGTCAATGTGAGGTAAAGTGCGTCGCCAAGGTAACCGGTTAAAACTCGAAGTGGCGATGAGGTCTTAAAATGTATGGAAAGGGTCCAAAGATCCAAAAATACTTAAAGTTCCAAAAATACCGTAAATTCCAAAAATACTTAAAGTTCCAAAAATACTTAAAGATCCAAAAATACGTAAAGTTCCAAAAATACTTAAAGTTCCAAAAATACCGTAATTCCAAAAATACTTAAAGTTCCAAATATACTTAAAGTTCCAAAAATACTTAAAGTTCCAAAAATACCGTAAATTCCCCAAATACTTAAAGATCCAAAAGTACCGCAAATGGTTGGAAGATAAGGAGGAAGGACAATCAATACTGTATATAGTAAATGTGAGGTAAAGTGTGTCGCCAATGTAACCGGTTAAAACTCGAAGTGGCGATGAGGTCTTAAAATGTATGGAAAGGGTCTTAAAAAAGGTCTTAAAAGGTCTTACATGTGACTTCAGGATTCCTGCATATACCCTGCTTCCACATTTGTAGTCTTTTATATTCCCTTGACTACAGAGGTCAACACTATGTGACAATATTTGGCCTTGTCACAAAGACAAACTGGCATTCTGTCACGATCACCATGAATACCAGCGTGCAAGATACAGTAGGTTTCAGTTTAATTGAAATGTTTTCTTGTCAGTGGTAAAACACAAAAGCTCTAGTATAGTGAAGCAAAGAAAACGCATCAATACGTTGATATGTAGAAACGAAACCGCTGATGCTTTCTTTAAACATCCATTTCATGTTTATTTGTATTTCTATTCTTTCCTCTCCAGCGCTCCTTCACTTGCTCACATGTGTTTCATTTGTTTAGGCTGAGGCAGGAGCTGGAGATGCATAAAGAAGGAGAGCTGGAGCTTCTGAGAGAGGCTCTACGATCAGAGATACACTTCCTGAAGTCGGTAAGAAAGCCTCTCTACAAAGCTTATAACTGTTTAAGATTGAACAAAGTTATTCACACCCTCCCAGAATCACACAGCATTATGTGCATGTCACACCACGATCTTTCAAGCACATGTGTAGCACATCATTAGTCATTTTGAAATACACACTATGGGAAAAGGAAGTTCAGAACTCATTCATATTCATCCTATTTCTTCTCTCCTTTGTTGGGGGTTTTTCTTTCAGCAGAAGCTGGACAGCAGCCAGGGGAGCGAGCCGCGATGAGGATGATGATACAGGTTATATTGGTTCTTCTGGTAAAACAAACATGAATATGAATAGACAGGAGTTAAGGGAAGAAAAAGGACGGGAAGGAACAAACACAGAGATAATAAACCGTAATAAGTTACATGAAAAGAGCAAATTCCTTTCTGTGCATGACCTCAGGGTTGAAACCGGTTTCTTTTCCAAGCTTTTATACAATGTGCCGCTCTGTTTATACCTTTGGTTTTATAATAAATATTCCTTTTTACATGCAATTTATTGGAACATGACTAACAAATAAATAAGGGAGGTGTTCCTAAAGTGGTGGTATACTGCCCTCAGGTGGACAAAGTGTAACATTGCTATACACACTGGATTTAAATAGCATGTCAACATTGAATTTAATCCAAAAGAGCATGATAGGAAAAGGCAACCAACATTATACTTTCTGATTAATTTAATCAAATTACTGATATGGTATTTAGGGTAAAAAAACCTTTTAAATATGCTGTAAAATTAAAGCCAACACTATTTTTTAATTTCAATCAATAATCTGGCTAGAGAAGTTAACACTTTAAAGGGGACCTATCATGCAAAATGCACTTTTTGATGTATTTTATACATAAAGATGTGTCCCCGGTGTGTCAGAAAATAAAACCCTCTCTCTTTTCCTCCGTACCCAAATCTCTAAAAACGGGGCTACAACGGAGCTGATCCAGATTTGCGTCCGATATGACGTAATATCTGAAATGTGGACCCACGGCCCTATCAGAAACGTTGCTATCAGAAACAATGCCCGACTGTTTTGGACGTAATATGGTCGGTGTTTACATTAGCATCGCTAACACTCAGAGCTAACCTGTACTGGAGAGCATGTGTGTGAAGAAGCAGGAAATAAAAAGGAACTCACCTTGTGGTATAACCGGCAAGAGAGAAAGCCTTTGAGCTCCATACTGTTTCAGAAATAATCCTTGATAATCCATGATATGGCGTTTCATCACGGCAGTATTTAGTTTAGACAGTAGCTGCAGGGTCCCGCATGAGCTCAGACCCCTCCTTTTTGTTTTAAAGCTTTATACCCCAAATCAGCACTTTTGAAACAGGAAGTGAAATAGAGGGATATGAGGCATGGCTAGAATGGGTGATCTGTTTGGTATTTTGAGCAAAACACTTCATAGACATGTTTTTTATATATGTTATATATGTGAGACCTATGCTATTGCCTAAAAATAGCATGATATGTGACCTTTAAGGCCAAAAGTAAATGGACACTAATGTGTTATTCTGGTACATGCCATTTCTTTATCTTCAATATTTTATTTTAATCAATTTTCTTATTAGGCACGCAAAACAACAAAATGTTACAACAATATTCTGCTACAAGACCAGAACATTAACAATGAAAAATGAGGTGAGGTAAAGGGCAGCATGCACAAAACAAATCACAAAACATGTTACAGTTATAGTAAATCGAACAAATGCTGTGTAAGGTTAGAGAACACAGGGATTTTAGCCTTTGCAGACCGTTAACATGCACACAAACCTATATAACATACTACAGAAAGAGGGGAAAACCCCAAATTAGTCTGTTGTAACATTATAGAAACACACACATTACTTATTTATCTAATTAGTTATCACCACAATAAACCGTATTTAATTGAATCTTACTGTACAATATTTAATTTTACATTCTGTTCTTGTATATCATATTCTATTTAAGTGTATATAGACTTCTTGCACTATTCTTTATGTGCATATGACAATAAAACCTTTGAATCTTTGACATTGTTGTGTCTGTCGCCCCCTAAAGGTAGTTGTGTGACATTACAGTTTACCTCAGTCCACACACAGTTATATCAGTAATTGATGATTAGGCTGTCGACAGCAGAGGGTCGTTCTGAGGGTCATTTTCCCTCTGATTAGAGTGACTCCTAATAGAATCATGTGGGATGTCAATGGCTGCCTAATGAGATCCAGCAGCTTCAGTTTGACCGTTTAACCTTGACCTCGTTGAGCTGCGTCTGCAAGTGTTAGCAGAAACTGAGGGCAGACCATTTGGCAGAGTGGTTAACCTCATTTCAACTCGTCTTTCCATAAAGCACGTAAATAATGAGTGACTGTCAGTGAAATGAAGTCAAGCAGAAAGATGGGAAGATGGCGACCAGACAATTGCACGTGTAATTGTCCTGTATATAAATAATGTAATGCAGCCGTTAATCTGCAGGGAGCCTCACCTTTTATCCTTTAAAGGGGACCTATCATGCAAAATGCACTTTTGTACGTCTTTTCTACATGAATATGTGTCCCCGGTGTTCCAGGGAACTGACCAAGTGTCAGAAAACACAACCCTCTCTATTTTCCTCCATACCCAAATCTCTAAAAAAGGGGCTGCAACGGATCTGATAAAAACTGATCCAGATTTGAACACTGTCCTGACGTCAGGACGGTGGCGCTACGACTATTGGGCCAACTCCACCAATCAGGAGGAGACAGCCACGGCCATTGCCGTTCGAAAGCGCTGGAGACGCTGTAGTACATATGCCAGGCCAGTAGGTGGTGCTGTTCTCACTGAATCTGCCCAGAGCTAAAACAGAGCTAAAAATTGTCAAATTGAGCAAAATGAGGCATGGCTAAAATGCATGATCTGTTTGGTATTCTTTTTTTTTTAAAGTATAAATATGCCTTATATAGGTATGGTCCTACACTATATTATTCAAATATAGCATGATAGGTCCACTTTAAGTCTTCTTGTTTGAGTACTGTTGTGATCTGATATAGAATGGCCTGAAAATTATTTAGCATTTTACCTCTTCTGGTCCCTACGTCTTCCACTCAAGTGTTTTTTTGTATGTGTTTTTGGTTGAAATAAGGTCTGTGGTTAACACAAGCTGAAGAGATATTTGTTCTACCACATAAAATACGTCAGAAAATACTCCATTGGTGGATTTAAAACGCAGCGGTTGCTAACACAGGGTGTCCGCGGGGTCTTAAAAAGTATTAGAAGTTGATAAATGAATTTAGCGAAAATTAAGGCTATTAAAAAGTATTAAACGGCATTTTCCAAGGTATTACATTTTGTAGCTTGTTTTCAGTAAGTATATAAATTGTCCAAAGAGGTTGTATTCTAAAGTGTGCCTGAATGTAATCATTGCGTAGGTGTGTAGTGTGATTCAACATTCATGCCGTGTAGATATTTTTATTAACACTTAATCACTGACTCTTGTTTATCCACATAGAAGACAGCTGTTCTCGGCGTCTCCCTGAACACCAGCCCCCCTCAGCTCAGACTCAAAAACCCCCATGATGGCGCTCTGTATGAGGCTGCTGTTGCTCTTGGTTGTCAGGCAGTCCTGATCTTCAGAGAAATATGCTGACGCTGCTCCTGACACCTGGATTTTTGCTTCTAGAAATGCAGAAAAAGAAAATGAAGGTCTAATTTAGTGGCACTGTGTAAATATATAATGTGTGTCTCTCATTTTTTTAAGACATACGAAAGTTATAAAACATAGTGAAGGAATACAAATATTTGAAGAGGCCATAGTATGTTCATTTTCAGGTGTATATCAGTATGTAGTGTCTCTACTTTAAAGAGTCCTCTCCTGCTGATGTTCAGGTGTATATCAGTATGTAGTGTCTCTACTTTAAAGAGTCCTCTCCTGCTGATGTTCAGGTGTATATCAGTATGTAGTGCCTCTACTTTAAAGAGTCCTCTCCTGCTGATGTTCAGGTGTATATCAGTATGTAGTGTCTCTACTTTAAAGAGTCCTCTCCTGCTGATGTTCAGGTGTATATCAGTATGTAGTGCCTCTACTTTAAAGAGTCCTCTCCTGCTGATGTTCAGGTGTGTATCAGTATGTAGTGTCTCTACTTTAAAGAGTCCTCTCCTGCTGATGTTCAGGTGTATATCAGTATGTAGTGTCTCTACTTTAAAGAGTCCTCTCCTGCTGATGTTCAGGTGTGTATCAGTATGTAGTGTCTCTACTTTAAAGAGTCCTCTCCTGCTGATGTTCAGGTGTATATCAGTATGTAGTGTCTCTACTTTAAAGAGTCCTCTCCTGCTGATGTTCAGGTGTATATCAGTATGTAGTGTCTCTACTTTAAAGAGTCCTCTCCTGCTGATGTTCAGGTGTATATCAGTATGTAGTGTCTCTACTTTAAAGAGTCCTCTCCTGCTGATGTTCAGGTGTATATCAGTATGTAGTGTCTCTACTTTAAAGAGTCCTCTCCTGCTGATGTTCAGGTGTATATCAGTATGTAGTGTCTCTACTTTAAAGAGTCCTCTCCTGCTGATGTTCAGGTGTATATCAGTATGTAGTGTCTCTACTTTAAAGAGTCCTCTCCTGCTGATGTTCAGGTGTATATCAGTATGTAATGTCTCTACTTTAAAGAGTCCTCTCCTGCTGATGTTCAGGTGTATATCAGTATGTAGTCTCTCTACTTTAAAGAGTCCTCTCCTGCTGATGTTCAGGTGTATATCAGTATGTAGTGTCTCTACTTTAAAGAGTCCTCTCCTGCTGATGTTCAGGTGTATATCAGTATGTAGTGTCTCTACTTTAAAGAGTCCTCTCTGCTGAAGTCCCTCTGGAGGGAACACAGACCATGTACATGCACAAAAACCGATATAACCACAAAAAGCATGATGTGTTCCTGCTGTGAACTTAGCAATACGCAAAAAGGTATAAAAAGTAGTTGATAAAACACTTTCTTACTGTTGCACACGGCCAGTTTGTTTCCTCCAATGAACTGACTCCGCCATTTAAACCCCGTCTGCTCACTGCACTCTTCATACACCCGACTCCTCCTGAGGAAACTAAAATCGTGACCCTGTGAAAGAAAATTACATTACAATACACATTTTTACTTACAACAGACATTTATTTTTGTATTCCACTTACATGGTTGCACATAGGCTTGCAGTAGCGCTTGTTGCTCACTGTGGTGCACAACAACCCTCCATCTTCTGGTACTTCAGCTTGAGGGCATTTATTTGGCTCTGCACCCTGGCATTCTGTAAATCAATGATTATTTAATAAATATGAAATTGAACATTGAACCGGTTAGATTTTGTTTTTATTTTCATATCAGCCATTTATTTATCCCTTAGGCCTTCAGCGTGCACAAGGAGCATGTTTTTATTCAGCCAATTTCAGACTTACAAGAGAAGCCACAGAGATGAATGCGATTAAAGAGTTCATTCCTAATCAGTGATGAGTGTTTGTTGGAAAGGATCAGATGTTATCTCTTCTCTGTAAGTTATTCTGTTCTCTAATACTTTAACTTCTACTGCCTGAACCTGCTTTATGAGTCTGCTTCTTTTTACACGTGGCCATCTTCTTAAAAAATCCTCAGTTTTTTTCTCTCAAAATGTTCACCTTTTTTCCTACAATTTTTCAAAATTCTAACTTTTTTTCAAATTTCGTTTTTTTTACTCAAATGTTTGAGTTTTTGTGAATTTGTTGAAGGTGGTGAGGTCAGTGCAGTCTCTGATGGGTTGGGGGGAGTGAGTTCCAGAGGGAGGGGGCAGCGACGGAGAAGGCTCTGTCCCCCCAGGTCCGGTGATGATGCGGGTGGGGATGGCTTCTGATGAGCGGATGAGCTTCTGATGACTTTTTATATAATTCAAACTTCTTTAAAAAAATATCTAACTTTTTATAAAATTCAGACTTGGATCAGCTTTTCTGTATATATATATATATATAGCATCTGACTTATTTTCAAAATGTAGACTTTTTCCCCAAAATTCAGAATTCTTTTTCAAAATTCAGATTTTTTTATAATGTTTTTCAAAATTCCTGTCTTTTTTTTTTCAAAATTCTCCCTTTTTTAGAAAAAATACAGGCCTAGTCCATAACAATATTTTTCTCAAATTCCTGACTTTTCCCCGAAAAAATATCACTTTTTTCAAAAAATATCACTTTTTTCAAAAAACCTTTCATCATTGGCCTGAATATGCTGAATGAAAGGCAGGTTATCCTATCAGTACAATCATTTCTGATCCTAGATATGTTGCTACCTCTCAGCTGGAGTGTGTACAGTTTGTCCTTCTGGTTCCTCAGGTTGAGCAGCAGGCCAGCTCTCTCCTGTGAACTCCACGGCAGGCTGTCCTCACACTCTCCCACCGCCTGGTGGTGAGTAGAAGAACAACACATGCTTTATTACTCTGTTGTTATTATACAGTTATAGTGGACATTCACACATGCAAACAAGACCTTTACACACAAGAATGCAATAACAGAAAGGTGTCCTAGCAAAGGAGCATTTTTCCACTTCCTGGATCACATCTGCAGCTATCAGTCCACTTTTAATTGTATTTCTTGGTCCATACGTGGACTTAAACCAGTGACCATGCAGTTCCCAAAACCCCTACTGAGATAATACCGGGACAGGATACTTGTTTTATAAGGGAAATAATACTAACAATAATGTAAGAATATTTTTAAATGTCCCTGTTGGGGACAAATAAAGGAATTCTGCAATAAAAGAAAGTAAAAAAAAATATTGTGACAATATAAGTGACAGATGAAGCAGAGCTACAGTAAAGGGTTAAAAAGCGACAAAAAAGTTGTTAAAATTTGAAAAAAAGAGGCCCAGGAGAGACGGCACCACAGACAGTACGGTACGAAATGGAAAATGAATTCCAAATAAAAAATATCACACACTGGTTAAATTATTTTTGTTATATTACAGTATCTTCTTGTCCTAAAGAACACAATGTAACCCGACTCTATGTGTGAACGCTTTTCTGACGGTAAAAACATCCACAGTTTACCTTGAGATTAGACATCAGATGCTGGTATCCGCACTGTAAACTCTCATCTTGAGCTGCACAGGAGGACAAGACTATACACACACACACACACACACACACACACACACACACACACACACACACACACACATTTACATGTCTTGTTCTGCAGTATACATGTTCTCTTTTATGATCTACACCCGTGAGATTACCTGCTAGTGAGCAAATCCACATCAGAGCTCCCTGTAACGCCATGTTCGCTGAATTAGATTTGTTTTTTCTGACCCCGGAGTGAAGGCAGAGCGC